TGAATCCAGGAGCTGGTTTTTTGAAAAGATAAACAAAATCAACAAGCGTTTAATTAGGCTCATCAAGAAAAGAAGAGAGAGGACACAAATAAACACAATCAGAAATGAAAGAGGAGAGATTACAACTGACACCACAGAAATAGAAGGGATTGTAAGAAATTACTATGAAGAACTGTATGCCAAGAAATTTGAAAACCTAGGGGAAATGGACAAATTTCTAGAAAAATATAATCTTCTAAAACTCAATGAAGAAAAAACAGAAAGCCTGAACAGACCAATAACAGCAAATGAAATTGAAGCAGTAATCAGAAAATTCCCAACACACAAAAGCCCTGGACTAGATGGTTTCACACGAGATGTCTACAAAGCATTTAAGGAAGAGCTAACCCCTATTCTTCACAGACTATTCCAAAAAAATCCAAAATGATGGAAGACTCCCAAACTCTTTGTATGAAGCCAGCATCATCCTAATTCCAAAACCAGATAAAGACACAACAAAGAAAGAAAACTTCAGGCCAATATCTCTGATGAACATAGATGCTAAAATCCTTAGTATAATATTAGCGAATCACATCCAGCAATACATTAAAAAGATCATATACCATGACCAAGTGGGATTCATCCCAGGGATGCAAGGATGGTTCAATATCTGCAAATCAGCAAATGTAATACATCACATAAACAAAAGCAAAGACAAAAATCACATGATCATGTCAAGAGATGCGGAAAAGCTTCTGATAAGGTACAACACCCATTTATGATAAAAAACACTCAGCACAGTGAGAATAGAGGGAGCATTCCTCAATATAATAAAGGCCATATATGAGAGACCTACAGCCAACATCATACTCAATGGGTAAAAGCTAAAAGCTTTTTTACTAAGATCAGGAACAAGACAAGGTTGTCCGCTTTTACCACTTCTTGTCAATATAGTATTGGAAGTTTTAGCCACAGCGATCAGACAAGAAAAGGAAATAAAAGGCATCCAAATCGGAAAGGAGGAAGCAAAACTGTCATTGTTTGCAGATCACATGATAGTGTACACGGAAAATCCTATAGACTCTACCCAAAAACTGCTCAACATAATAAATGAATTTGGCAAAACAGTGGAATACAAAGTCAATATCCAGAAATCAAAGGCATTTTTGTATACTAACAGTGAATCAGCAGAATCAGAAATAAAAAAAAAACATTTGATATAGCAAAAAGAAAAATAAAATATCTGGGAATAAACCTAACCAAGGAGGTAAAAGATCTGTATACAGAAAACTACACAACACTGAAGAAAGAAATCAAGGAAGACACAAACAAATGGAAACAAATACAGTGTTTATGGATTGGAAAAATTCACATAATCAAAATGTCCATATGACCCAAAGCAATTTACAGATTTAATGCAAAACCTACTAGAATACCAATGGCATATTTTGAAGACATAGAAGAAACACTTCAAAAATTTATATGGAACCATAAACGACCCCAAATAGCAACTGCAATTTTGAGACAGAAGAACAAAGTAGGAGGGATCACAATACCTGTTACCAAACCATATTACAAGGCCACTGTAATCAAAACAGCCTAGCACTGGCATAAAAACAGGCACATAGACCAATGGAACAGAACAGAGAGCCCAGAAATAAACCCAAGTCTCTACAGTCAATTAATATTTGACAAAGGGGGCAGTAACATAAAATGGAGTAAAGATAGCCTCTCAACAAATGATGTTGGGAGAACTGGACAGCTACGTGCAAAAAAATGAAACTTGAGCACAGACTTACGCCATACACCAAAATAAATTCAAGGTGGATAAAAGACTTAAATATAAGCTGTGACACCATTAAAGTCCTAGAGGAGAACATTGGCAGGAAAATCTCAGATATTTCACACAGCAACATTTTTACTGATATGTCCCCTAGCGAAAGGGACATAAAGGAAAGAATAAACAAATGGGATCTCATCAAAATAAAAAGCTTCTGCATGGCTAAAGAAAATAGTATTAAGATAAAAAGAGAACCAACTGTTTGGGAAAATATACTAGCCAATGATACCTCAGACAAAGGTTTAATCTCCAAAATATACAAAGAACTCACATGACTCCACTCTAAGAAGACAACCAACCCAATTAAAAAATGGGCAAAGGACTTGAACAGACACTTCTCCAAGGAGAACATAGAGAGGATCCAGAGACACATGAAAAGATGCTCAATATTGCTAGCTATCAGAGAGATGCAAATTAAAACCACAATGAGATACCACTTTACACCAGTCAGAATGGCCATCATAAACAAAGCAACAAACAACAAATGTTGGAAAGGTTGGGGGGTAAAGGGGGCCCTAGTTCACTGTTGGTGGGATTGCAGACAGGTACAACCATTATGGAAAACAGTATGGAATTTTCTAAGAAAACTAAAAATGGACCTGCCTTTTGACCCAGCAATCCCACTTTTGGGAGTATATCCTAAGAACCCCGAAACACCAAAAGAACCTTGCACCCCAATGTTCATAGCAGCACAATTTACAATAGCCAAGTGTTTGAAGCAACCTAGGTGCCCATCAGTAAATGAATGGATCCAAAAACTATAGTACATTTACACAATGGAATTCTATGCAGCAGAAAGAAAGAAGGAGCTCCTACCCTTTGCAACAGCATGGATGGAACTAGAAAGCATTATGCTGAGTGAAATAAGCCAAGCGGTGAAAGACAAATACCATATGATCTCACCTTTAACAGGAACCTAACAAAACAAACAAGCAAACAAAATATAACCAAAGACAGTGAAATACAGAACAGACTGACAGGGACCAGAGGGGAGAGGGGAGAGAATTTCAGGGGTAAAGGGGAAGGATTCACAGGAACAAGTATAAAGGACACATGGACAAAAACTAAGGCAGGGGGAGGAAATGGGAGGGAGGTGGGGAGCATAGGGGGTGGGCTGGGAAGGGAATAAAAGGCAGAAAACTGTACTTGAAAAATAATTAAATAAAAAACAATTTAAAAAATGAAATTCTGCCATCTGTAACAACATGGATGAACCGAGGGGATATTATGCTAAATTAGGTAAGTCAGACAAAGTAAGACAAGTGTTGCACAATCACACACACATGTGGAACCTAAAAACAGAAGGCAAACTCTCAGTAACAGAGTTGGGTGGTCGTTACTGGGGCTGGTGGTGAGGGAGGGAGACTGATCAAAGGGCAGAAACTCTGGGTTAGAACACCAGTAGCGCTCTAGACCTGTGTGCAGGATGATTGCTGTAGTTGATGGCAATACATTATATGCCTGCTATTTGCTAAGAAAATAGAGCTCAAGTGTTGTTACTACAAAGAAAAAGGTAAGGATGTGAAGTGATGAACCATTTGTGGAAATTAATTCACAATGTATACATATACATATCAAAACATCATGTTGTACTTATTAAGTGTGTATGATTTTTATTGATCCATCATACCTCAATAAAGCATGAAAAATTTTTTTAAAAAGCAGAAACAGCTACATTAATTAATTTCGGGCAGCACAGCCTTCACAGCAATGAAAGTTATCAGGAATAAAGAGGGACATTACACAATGATACAAGGAGTGAGTTCTCCAAGACAACACAACAATCTCTCCTTTTAGCTGTTCTGAGACCTCATTTCTAACATGGGGGAGGGGTACCTACATCAACAAACAGTTCTCAGATATAAGCAGGGTGTCCAAAAATTCAGCTTAGTTCTGACACTATCTGCCCAGAGACAATATCAGATTCCGCAGGCTGGGGTTCAGTCCTGCAAGCCTGCATGCTGCCTGGCTCCCTTCAGGTGCCAGCTGCACCATCACCTCTGACCAACCAATTGTAAATCAGAGGGTCCCACAACTTCTCCTTGGGTTTAATTAATGTGCTAGACTGGCCACAGAACTCAGAGAAACGTGTTACTTACTAGATCACCAGTTCATTATAAAGGGATAATGTTAGTGTCAGCAGCTACTATGGTATTAACAAAAGAGAAGGGAGAAAACTGGCTTAGCCTGATAAAGTTGAGAAAATACAGTTTCAGACACTCCAGGGAATACCTGGAATTGCTCCTTCAAATAAATGGATTAACCTGAGTGGGCAGAAAAAAACTAGGTTTCCAATCATCCCAGGAAACAAGTGGCCAGTCCCCCGGATTAGGAGGGGGAAGGAAGAGATGCATGAGGAGTTCCTTCTACTATGAGGGAGGCACAGTAAGAGCCAAGATGGCAACCATAAAGGATAGGAGACACACCTGAGAAAATCGGGGAAAAGATTGGGTAGGATTGGATAAGATAAGGATGCAAGCCCAGGAAAAGCCAAAAATGATATTGGACAATTGGAAAGAAAGCCTGCTCTCTCCCAAGCCCAAGGAAATACAGGGAAGCCTGAAAAAGCCCGTCTCTCTAGCAGCTGCACAGGCTAAAGCACAGCACCCATCAAGGGCTGGATGGGGACAGAGGCTAAACTAGATTACTGGAGCCTCAGATGCCAGGGTAATGTCACGGCAGCCCTGGGCCCTGGTCCTCCTCCTGGGCTTGGTGGGGACAAGTGTGGACCTGCAGCCCTGGGCATTGGGACCAGCAACCCCCAACCTGCGGCAGCAGAACCCTTAGGAGCAGAACCAATGCACAGAACCCAACATAGTAGCCCTGTCAGGATAAGAACTCCCTCCTACTGAAGTGGCCACAGTGTGCAGCAGTGGCCACATTTTGCAGCAGTGGCTGACTTGCATAGAAGTGTTCACACATAAAACAGGTGACTATCCCCATAAATGTTTTAAAAGCAAGTGGAGAACTGAGAGACACAATCTCTTGGATTTTTTTCGACTCTGAGTCTCCAACTCTATAGTCATAAATACCTTACTAGCAGTAGGTAGTATCTTCAAACCCTTTCAGAAATTGTCTCCTTTGTTCTCTACCCTCAATTCTACCTGAGTAAGCCCCAAATTTCCCAATAATGCAACTTTGAAAAAAGTTGCTTTTCTACTGAGATACCATGAACACTTACCCCAGTTTCTGCAGCTTACATTGTGGATGCTTGGCTTTTTCACACAGCATTCTAACTCCCGAGTCACCCAGAGCATTTTCCCCCACGTAGAGTCTGGTCAGGGACTGGCTGGTGGTCAGGATGGATGCAAGATCTGCACAGCAGGCCGACGTGAGACAGCAGTTGATCAACCTTCAGCAGAGATGGCAGAATGTCAACATACCTGTCACCCACTCTGCTGTGAACCCAGAAGCATGTGTCCCGTCACCACCTCTAGTCCAAGCCACACACAGGGAGAGTACATCCAAGCTCTATATTAGCTTTTGATTTCCTTTTCTGCTTGTGACCTTCTAAGCCCAAGAAGCTTCTTCAACATCTTCTCAGCTCCCAACATTTATTATTGTGTTGAATATGCACAACATACAACTTGCCATCATAACCCTTTTTAACCATACAGCTCAGTGGCATTAAGTACATTCACATTGTTATGCAACCATCCCCACAGTCCATCTCCAGAACTTCTCCATTTTCCCAAACTGACACTGTCCCCTTGAAACAAGAATTCCCAGTTCCCCTCCCCAAGCCCCTGGCACCTACCCTTCTACTTTTTGTCTCTATGACTCACACCACTCTAGGGGCCTCATTTGTGTAAGTGGATTGTACAGAATTTATCCTGTTGTGTCTGGCTTATTTTACTTAGTATAATGTCTTCAAGGTTTTCCCGTGTTGTATCATGTGTCACAACTCCTTTTAAGACTATATTTGTGCATATATCACATTTTAAAAATCTATATATTCATCTATGGGCACTTGGGTTGCCTCCACCCTTTGGCTATTGCAAATAACACTGCTGTGGAAATGGGTATACAAATACCTGTTTGAATGCCTCATTTCAATTCCTTGGGATAGATCCCAAGACTTGAAATGGCTAAGTCATTTGGTAATTCTATATTTAATTTTTTTAAGGAACTGACACACTGGTTTCTGCAGCAGCTGGGCCATTTAACATTCCTACCAGCTATATGTAAGATTTCAAATTTCCCCACATTCTCACCAGCACATGTTTTCTGGTTTGGTTTGGTTTGGTTTGGTTTGGTTTGGTTTGGTTTGGTTTATAATCAAGAAGAGTCCTAAGACCCTTCTAGAGCAGTGCTTACACTGGCTGTGTATTTTCAGCGGGGCTGTGAATACCTTTAAAGCAACATAATTCCTTTGTCCAAGTTTCCCATCCAGGGCTCAGTATGTGGCCTTTCCCCCAGCAACACTACCTGACCAACACCCAAAGGTGAGCCACGGCCGACTGTCTGTGCACAAGCGCTCAGCCTGAAGCTCACTGAAGCCTCAGCTTACTCACCATAGTTTCTCCAAGGGGCAGAAAGCACACCGCAGTCCCACACACAGGAGCCGGAGCCCGCGGTGCGCCAGGGCATTGTGGCTCAGATCCAACTCCAACAGTGACACAGAGCCACTCAGTGCGGTGGCAAGGTGGGAGCAGCAGAGGTGGGAAAGGCGGCACCGCCTCAACCTGGAGCCAAGCACATGAGCAAAAGTGTCAGAACACAGAACGCACATTACCTGTGCTGCCTCCCGTCTGCGCGAGTGTTTGGAGCCCAAACAGGTCCTTGTGTTCTCATATTACAAAGGGAAAATCACAATGAATTTTTTTTGGAAAGTGTCATCTTATCAGAACCTGAATATGGCCCAAGACATATAGGGAAGGGACACACTGCTGAGCCCCAGCAGTGAACTCCCTTCCTCAACGATGGTCAGGTGTCAAATACGTAAGTAACACGTTCCTGTTCTGTAGATAAAAAGGGCAGTGAACTCCCTCACACAGACGCTGAACTTTCTAGGGGTCATCACCGTCTTTTTGCCAACCTCATCCTGCTGTTCTGCTTAGTGTTGCCATCCCAGACCCCTTCCACACAGAGGGAGCAAGTGGCTGATTCTTGATTTGTTTTATACCGACACATGTACATGCACTCACATACATGCTCACATTCACAAGTGTGCATGCATGTACACACACACACTACAACAATAACAATGATTTGTCCTTGTTGTAGGAACAAGAATAATAAACAGCTCAGCTCCTTTCCACGCCAGCAGTGCAGCTGTCCCAGAGCTTTCTGGACCCCCTACCTTCTTTCCCACCTCCACACCAGCTCCAGGAGCAAGTGGGCAGTTAACCTGTAAGTACCTACAAAGCACCTCATCACCACCCATGTGTTCCTGCTCATGTCTCTGTCCCTGGAATCCCACAGGGACACCCACAGGGGCAATGGGGATAGAAGCAGCAGTGGGGGCTGGTGAGCAGAGAGTCAGGGAAGTACCAAACCCAGCCAGGGCCTTCAAAGCCAAAATTACAAAGATTTGTAATTTATCAAAAGAGCAAAGTGCAAAAGCATTTAAGAGTGGAAAATCATGATGAAGGTAGAGTCACCTCTCTGATTTCTGCCCTGACAAGGGTTGGAGGGAGAGCAAACAGCTGCTCTCCCTTCGGTGCATACATCTGAGCAGAAACATGCACCCAGACGCTGCTCAGTCACCGCGGGGACAGCAGCCAGACCCACACAAACCCTGCCTGGGAAGCCACTGGTCTTGGAAGCCATCACACTGTCCAAGCAAGTGGCTGTGGTTGTTGGGCCTGAGCTGATGGAGTGAGGATGAGGAAAGGGGACCATGGCTTGTAAAGGAGGTAAAACTGAGAAAACCAGGGATGGGGTGGGTATAATGAACAAGACAGAAGGAAGGCATTCGAGTGCTGGGCTGGTCACCAAGCAGCTGTATTATGAGCTGCAGGGACGGCCCAAACACCACGTGCTCCACTCAGGCACACAAGCCTGATCTGTGAGTGGGTTCAAAGCACACGCTCAGAACAAAGCTACCAGGGGTTTCTGAGGGACAAGTCAATCCACACAAAATGTGCTCAGGGGCTCCAGCCTTCTCTGTATGTGATGAAACTCTCAGATTCCCACCCATAAGCATGACCTGTGAGGAAATGGAAGACACTGGAGATCATCCCTTTTTACCACCTGTTTTCAGTTCCCTTTTGTCCCTCTCTATCTGATGTTTCCTAAGTAACCGGACTCCAGTCCATTCTGCTTTCTCCCTTGTCATGTGCTGAACTGTGTCCCCCACAAAAAAATTCATACAGTGATGTCTTAACCTCTAGGACCTCAGAATGTGGCTGCATTTGGAGATTAGGCCTTTAAAGAGGTAAGGGAGTTAACATGAGGTTACTAGAGTAGCCTCTAATCTGACATACCTGGCATCCTTTTACGACAAGGAGACAGACCTGCACGGGCCCGGAGGAAGACATCAGCCACACCCGAGGGGACAGGCCTCAGAGGGAGTTTGCCCTCCACACAACTTCGCCTCGCACTTCCAGCCTCCAGGGCTGTGGGAAATAAGTGTCTGTTGTTTAAGCCCCTGGCCTGTGACACAGTGTGATGGAGGCCCTAAGAAACCAAGAGCCACTGATCTGGCCCCTGACATCTTTGTCCAGTCCTCTGTCTTGCTGTCACACACACACACACACACACACACACACACACACACACACACACACACACACAGGTCCTTACCACAATCTCTGAATGTTAGAGCCAGGATTCTGGAGCATTTCACACAATATCTTCACCCCTGCATCCCCCAGAGGATTGTCACTGAGGTTCAAGTCTGTGAGGTTCTGCTTCGTGCTCAGGACAGAGAAGAGGCCCTGGCAAAAACTGGAAGGGAGACAGCAGTTTGCCACCCTAGAAATTGGAAGGAAGGAGTAAAGTGAGAATAAAATCAGCCTGCAAGTACAGCAAACAAGCTAAGGGGCCAGGAGTGGCTGACACCCGCTGAGACAAAGGCCTCCCAGCAATGAGAAGTGAGCGAACCACAGGCTGTCTGTGGAGGATGAGTGGGGGCAGGGACCTGGGTTGAGACTGCTCTGCACATTACACAGAGATGCTGTGAGCCTGTGACTTTGGCTGACTGCAAACCCCCTGTGGCCCTCCTTCAGGTGCCCCCCCACCCCACCCACTGCCAGCCCCTGTGACTGAGCTGTCCCTCTGCTAAGCGACACAGAGAGCAGTTCTCACCCCAGCCACATGAGGGTGGCAGAAGTGTTCTCAAAGATCCCTAGGCCAGGCAACATCCTGGGAATAATGTGGACCAGACTTATCAGTATTTCTAAGACTTCCTGGTGATTCCAATGTACAGTCTCATTCAAATACAGACTCTGACTCCACGGGTCTAGGGTTGGGCCAGCACTTCTAACTGGCACTGGGTGGGTACCCCTGCCGTGGTGCCTAGAAGGTTCTAGAACACACGAAGCAAGCACCTGCCCTCAGAGGAAGGGAGCTGGGATCTGGAGAAACAATGGCAGGCTTTCCACCCACCGTGTCTCTGTGAGTCTTTATGAGCTTCCTCACAGTCATGCAGGCTTGGTCAGGCCTCTTGTTTTCTCAGCCTTGCTTTTAGGGCTCCAGTGAGTGGGTCTCCTTCTCTCACTCTCTCTCTTTACCTTCCCTATATTCTTTCTAGCTATTCTAAACTACTTGCCACCATGGAAATATATATTGCTTTCCCACTTCCCACCCTCTGAGCCTTCTCACACCCCATCCTTCAGGAGCAGCCAGCTGGGGGCTCCTCTTGGAGCCTCAGGTGCACTCTGCAAGTGTTCTTGCCATAGCCCAACTTCCTCAGTCTGCCTGAGACTCCCAGCTGTCCCCACAAGGGAACCTTAAGTTGCTGTGAGCAGGACCTTGGTCTTAGCCACTGCTGAAGCCCCAGGGAGTGGTCCTTGGAAACCAGACAATAAAGGTGCTGGAGAAGCAGAGAAAAGGAGTTGAAAATTCATTGCTGCTGATGAAAGGGTCCAGCCTCCATTCTCCTTAATTTTGTCCCACGTCTAGTGTCTCCTTCAGAGGTCACACCCATGCCCTCACAGAGCAGCCACCTTCCCACAGCTTCTGGGGCTGTGGCAGTCCCCAGGGGGACTTCAGAAGTCAGGTAACAGCTGCTCCACTGCCTGCCAGTGCAGCCTTGGGTGCCCAAACCCTGCACATGGGCAAACAGACCCTGAAGGTGGCACTGCTGGTGGCTGCTGCCTGGTTGCAAGCACAGTGTGGGGCCTTGGAGCACTCTCTCCCCTCTAGCCCTGTTTTCCTCAGTTTCCCCTTTTCACATTTCTTTAATGAAGCCCTGTCCCTCCCCATTGTCTCCTGCACACACTCTTCCTCAGAACACATTCATGTGTTGTTCTCACCAGACCCACTGCCCAAATCCCTCTCCCTCCTCTCCACTCACCCTCACCCCATCCCCCATCTGTCAAGCCACAGACTTCACCCAGAGAGACCTCCCCCAGTGTCCAGTGTGGGAGGGCCTTCTGTCCTCTGTGATCCTGGGGCAGAGTCGCTGGGCCACATTTGCCTTTTTAATATTGACTAGCTATTATCACACTAGACTCCAAGTGGACTGCAAGCGACTTGAGATTACAAACATTTTACTCAGTTCCCTATTGCTTCCTTGGCTTTTTCTCATCCCACTTATACAGCTACCCTTGTTCTACTGATCAGTCTCTACCAATGAAGGGATCTACTGGCAATGGTGGTGGCTGCAGTATTACAGAGCTATGGCAACTGCATTTGAAAGACAGTTGAGAAGCAGGAAGAAGGAGAAAGTGCCAAGAGAAAGGTGGTGGAAAAGTGGAGGGCAGGCTCTACCACCTGCCTGAGTCCAGTCTCCTTACCGATGAGAGGAGGCAGAATGAGTGCCTGGGATGACACACTGGTCCACATTGGAGTATCTGGCTGCCTCCTCCTCCTCCTCCTCTTCCTCCTCCTTGGGCGAGTTATGGAGCCACCTCAGGGAAAGGAATTGCACACTGGAACAGTTCTTGATGCAGAAAGAAGAAACCACGTGATCCATTCTGGTGGAGAGACTGATCTCCATTCTGGGGAAGTGGCACATGGCCCTGCGTACGAAGTCTGCCTCCTGCATCTCGTACAAGCAGTAGAATAGCTCTAGCTGGCTGGGCTGCATCCTCAGGGTTGGGGCCCTGGCTTGTACCTCAATCCACCTCAGCAGCTCCAGCCTAATGTGCTGGGAAATCTTACAACTCAGCTTCTTCTCCAGGTAGGAGGTTCTCTCCTGATTTATGAGGCCAAAGAGGAAACGGACAACAAAAATCAGATACCCCTTTTCAAACTTGCCATAATTTTCAAGAAGGACTCTCACATCTCGGCTGGGGAGCTCACAAGGACTCTGTGGTATGTTCTTGGTCCCCCGCTGCTCCTCCTCCTCCAGCAAGTAGTACATGGCAGCAAAGAACTCCTGGAAAGTCATGTGTATGAAGCTGTAGAACTTCTCACAGTCCACCTCCTTCTGGAATAGGTTCACCCTCAGGAACGCAGACACATCGGCCTTCTGCAGGCCGTGGTTCCTGAGGTCACCCTCCTCAAACAGGATCTTCTGGTTCCATATTCCATCCGCAGCCAATGAGCAGAGGCCCCGAAGGTTGGCAGAGACATGCTGCCTCTGGCTCCCTGCTTGAGACTGCAACAGGCTGGAGAGGAAGAAGATGTACACTGCAGTGGTGGTCTTAGAAGTCTGGGTGACACTTTTGCCACTGTCCATCTGCTGTTTCAGCCCGGTGCACACAATCCAGCAGACCAGGGGGATGAAGCACATGGTGAAGAGGACGTCATTTTCCTGGATCAGCCTAAAGGCTTCCCAGGCCTGCTGCTTATCAGAGAAGTATTTAAAGAAATACTCCTTCTTCTTGGCCTCTGAGAAACCCAGAATCTCCACGTGCCGCGGACGGTCCAGAAGGTGGTGCAGCTTCTCCAGGGCCACAGGCCTCGTGGTGATGAGCAGTGAGGCTTCAGGGAGCAGCTTCTTTCTGATGAGGCTGCTTAGGACAATGTCCACACGCTGCACCTCCTGCCAGTCTGCGCAGAGCACCTCTGCATGCTCATCAAAGGCTCCCTGAAGCTCGTCGAAGCCATCCATAAGGAAGAGGATCCTGGCCGGCTTCCTCATGATCTTGCATAGGGGAGGGTTGGGGTCAGGGCAGCAGCTGGCCATCAGGTCCCCCAGGCTCCTGCATGTCCCCAGGCTCACCTCCCGGCAGTGGATATAGAACAGGTAGTCAAACCTGTCCTGGTACAGTTTCTCTGACGCCCAGTCTAGCATGATCTTCCTGGCCAGAATTGTCTTGCCGATGCCCGCCGAGCCCTGGAACACCACCGTGTGCACAGGCTCTGAGTGAGGGTCCTCAGACTCAAACAGCAACTCCAAGTTTATGGAACTAAGAGGGCTGTCCTGCATCTGGGCCACAGTCCTGCCAATGGCCATGAATTCCTGCTCCCGTTCCTGCTGGCTTGGGTACTCCTTGACGAGCCGCAGCCTGGTGTAGCGCTTATAGAGGTTCACGCTCTCTCCCAGACGGGCATTCCTGTCTTTAATGCACTGGAATCTGCTTCTCACATGATTTCTGTATTTCTTACAGTAATCTATAGCAGAGACAGAAAGTGAGACTCCGGGAAAGCCCAAGCACGTCCCCCTGAGATGAGCTCTCTACAGAGGCCTGTCATCCCTAGGGAGAGGTGACTGGAGCAAAGAAATGGGGGTGCAGTTCCTCCCCACAACCAGGTATAATTCTGGGGTGTCAACATTTTTCTATACACAGTTAAGCAGAAGAACAGCCAAAAGTCTGGGTGCTGCCCCCAACCAGAATATCATTTTTTAAAAGATTTTATTTATTTATTTTTAGAAAGAGGGGAAGGGAAGGAGAAGGAGATGGAAACATCAATGCATTGTTGCCTCTCACACACGTCCTACTGCAGACCTGCCCTGCAACCCAGGCATGTGCCCTGACTGGGAATTGAACTGGCGACCCCTTGGTTCGCTGGCCATCACTCAAGCCACTGAGCTACACCAACCAGGGCCAGAAAGTCATTTTTATGTAATGATACTCCCTTAGGTAGTACAAAGCCCATGCCTTTTAAAATCCAAAACTCTCAATGGTCTCCCCTTGGTTTGGGTACAGCATTGGGTACAGTGAGGACACTGTACCATGTCCTCAGCTACCAGGATTTCCTGAACAGGGCCTTTGTGCTTCAAGGAGCAGGAGCCCTCCAGGCAACCTGCTCCCCAGCTTTCCAAGGCCTCCCAGACCAAATCTCCAAACCCAGTGGATAACACCACCCCCATGGTTACCTTTCTTCTTTTTGCAAATAGAGATTCTGGAAAGGTACCCCAATAGGCCCATCCATTCCTCTTCAAGGCTGTCTTCCCGGCATACCACAGACACCTGTGCACTATCTGAAAATAAAGGAGAAACATGCTGTCAAAAACTAGGACTCCTGACTAGGGTGATGTCACTGAGACCCCACACTAGGCACAAGTCAAAGGCCCCTGCCAGGACATCAGTCAAACCAAAACACAGCTCAGAGTTGCAGACAGCAGGTGTGCAGCCGACGGTCTGGCCAGGGGGCATGGCAGTGGTCCTAATTTCAAAGCCATGGCATTGATCCACCCTCTAAGCATCATGTGCCCACAGAATCCAGTCTCAGAATCTCCTTCCTAGGCCCAGAAAGCAACCTGCAAACATGTGCGGCAGCAGGTTTCTCTGTTCCTCATGTGTCTGTGGCTGTCTCCCCTACCCCCAGTGGTCTGGTGTTGGGGTCTCTTCATGCTCACCAGTATCCCCAAGGTGGCCAAGGGCCAGCAGGATCACCCTTCCCTGATCCCTCCCAAATGCCTGGAATTTGTCGTACCCACATTCTGGGTCTTCAAGGGGGAGAATTACCAATGTGGTTTGTGTCTAACTTGGTGGTGCAGAATTCTGGCTGACTTTAGATTCACCTATGAAGCTTTAAAAATACTGTATCCATGGCTTCACTCCCATGACCCTTTTTCAGGCACCATTATATTCTTAAAGTTCCAACCTGCACCTGCAGTTGAGGATCACAGATCTGAATGGTTACTAAATGACACGTTTCAAAGTGGCATTTACCAGGAGAAACTTAGACACAATAGAGCGAGAACAAGGCACCAGGGGAAGCACACGGTGTAGACGCCTGCGGGTAGGCAGGAGCCCATGGGAACATGAGGGAGTGCTAATAGGCCTCTCCTTACCCCGAGGGCAAATGCTACTGGTGGCCTGGTCACAAAACAAAACCCACATTAACTCAAAGCAAAACCACAGCTTACCTCTCACCTAAAGCCTGACTCTAGCCGCTCTTCCCACCCCCCAAAAAGAAGTTCTGACCCTGGTCATAATCCTTCCACCTCAAAAAACACATGTGGGAGCCAAGATGCCCCAGTGGTTACGAGCCAGGCTTGGGCCACAGATTCACCTGGGCCTCACCTGGCCTAGGCCCTGATGAGGACACAGCCCTGGGCAATTCCAGGATTCTTGCAAAAACTAAAAATCTGTGCCCATTGAATAATGGTTTTCCATTGCCCTCTCCCTGGAGCCCCTTGCAACAACCTCTTGCTGTGTCTGTGAACTTGACTCCTCTGGGTGTCTCTTATACATGAATCATACCGGTGTCTCCATGAGGCTGTCATACTGCATTTAGTGTAATGAAATGGAAAATTCATTTGAAAGTGCTGGCCTCATGGGGTTCTTGTGAGAAATGATCAAAATCCATAAAAACTGAAACTAGGATTCACTTGAATTTGGTTACTAAACATGAGACTACAATGTGTCATCACATGCAATTTGTTTGTAACACCCACTGCTATGTACCCTCCTCACACCCTCTAGCATTTTCTCTTCCTTGTCACACCCACATTGCTTCCCCACCTCACCGTGCTTCCTCTGACCTGCTGCGTCATTGAAATGCCTCCTTTCTACTAGCTCAACATCATCAGTCTGTGACTTTCTCGATTTCTCTGAGACCACCTTGTGACCTTCCCTTGCTGAGGAGACCAAGCTGCTCCCGCCCTGTCCGCACTCCCAAAGGAGCATCCTGAGAGGCTTCTCATGCACTTTGCACAGTCTGCAAGTGGGCAGACTGTGCCAGAGATTCCAGCTGGTGGGCCCTGCTGGCAGACACAGAAGGAGCTACAGACAGAGTTGCAGCAAGTTTCAGATGCAGGAGAGATGTGGATAAAGTGGGACTAATCAGGGAAGCTTCCTAGGGGTATGTGAACCCTGACCTGGGTTTCTAAAGGAGTTAGAAAAAAGCAAACAGCTTTCTTCCACCTTCTCATAGCATGATCATGAGAGGGACAAAGAGAATGAAACTGAGCAAAATAAAAGAAATGATTAAAAAACAAACACATCAACTTTGATGCATCAAAAGCTACCATTAACAGAGTAAAAAGGCAACACATGGATGAAATGAGAGAAATTATTTGCAAATTGCATGCCTAATAGGGGCTTAGTATCCACGATATATAAAGAGCTCCTTCAAGTCAACAACAAAAAATAAGCAACTCAATTAAAACATGGGAAAAGGGCTTGAATAGACTTTTCTTCAAACATAAATGGCCAAGAAGCTCATGAAAAGGCACTCTATATCTCCAGTCAATAGGGAAATGCAAATCAAACACCTTTGCAATATCATCTCGCACCCACTAGGACAGCTACAACAACAACAACAATAAAAATACATAAAATGAATGTTTGCAAGGATGTGGAGAAATTAGAACCTTAGTGCATTGTTGGTGGGAATGTAAAATGGTGCAGGCACTGTGGAAAACAGTGTGACAGTTCCTCAAAAAAAAGGAAACATAGAATTACCATGTAATTCAATAATTCCACTTCTGGGCATATACCTAAAAGAACTAAAAGCAGGGTCTCAAAGAAATGTGTACACCCATGTTCATAGCATCATTATTCACAATAACACAAAGCTAGAAGCAGCCTGAATGTCCACTGGTATGTGGAAATATAAACAATATGTGGTACGTACTTACCATGGAATATTACTCTGACTTAAAAAGGAATGAAATCTTGTCATATATGGCAACATGAATGAAGATTGAGGACTTTATGCTAAATGAAATAAGCCAGCCACACTAAAAGGCGAATCCTATATGATTCCACTTATATGATGTCCCTAGAGGAGTCAAATTCATACAGACAAAAAGTAGATGTTGGGTGCCAGGGGCTGGGGGAAGGGGCTGGGGAATTGTTGTTTCATGGAAACAGTTTTGCAAGGTGGAAAAGCATTCTGGTGATGGATTGTATAGCAACATGAATGTGTTGAACACTCCTGAAACATACACTTAAAGATCGCTAAGATGGTAAATTTTGTGTTATTGTACATCTATCTTATCGAATTAAAACAAATTCTTTTCTCCTTGTACTCACCCCACTCTGGCTCATCCCTCTTGGCCTTCTCATAAAGGTCTCTCCTGTTGATTGCAGCAAAAATCCAGACTGCCATGCCCCATGCCTTCTGCTCCCCATTGAAGTCGATCATGAGGGTGGCTAGATCCACAGGATCTGCTTTCTCTGTCTGGCCCCGGGGGAGGGCAGTGCAGCCCTTCTGAGGGGGATAGTCTTCTAAGTGCATCTTGAACTTCTTCAAGTCCATGTCCTCCAGGTCCTCCAGGTAGTGGGCCAGCTTGCAGCGAACACTTGCCATGCCTATCTGCAGCCCTGGTCAGGGCCTTAGGGAGTAGGTCCAGCTGAGAAGTGGGGGTGGAAACAGCATATGGGTAAGGAGAGTAAAAGGACAAAAAGGCCCCGTTCAGGCCCCCTTTACCGGAGCTAGCTATCTCTTCCTTGAGCCCATCTGGCATAATTAGCTGTTGTTTCTGTGAGCCCCTATTTACAGGACTGGAGAGATTACTAAAAGCATCCCCCATGCAGGTGCTTTAAAACTTACACAAACAGGACATGCCAGACCAGAACATCCAGACCCTAAACCCAAAGATAACAGCAGAACAAACTGAAGCCTGCATGATCAGCCTGAAACCTCTCGATTTACGACTAATCGCCATGAATACCCAGCTGTGGCCCCCTCCCACTTTATCACTCAATAAAAGCTCACAGCACTAATTTTTTGCTGCTGGTGTATCTCTCCACACCGAGCCCCTTTCCCCTCTGAGAAAGTCAATAAAACTTTGCTCTCTGCATTTTCTTCTCTTTGTGAATTCTTTCACAGCCCACGTCACCAGCCACCCCAACAGAGTCTCTTTCAAAGTCTATCCTCAAAGAGAATCACATGATCAAAAAGTCAGAAGACTGAAAGGAAATAAGTCATTGAACTGTAATGAACTTCATCTGCAGTTCTGAAAAGTGAGCCCAATGCCTACCAGACAGTTGTTCTCTTGGCTCAACTCAGGAGTGTCCTGAGCCAAGAAGGAAGACATCCCTGTGGGGAGAAACAATATTAACCCAGAGACAGTCATACCAGCAGGGTAGTGGGTGCCAAGGACACTGCATGGTGTCACCTGTGAGGGTCCCAGGACACTGCTGACTGGGCCACAATCTTGGGCAAATGTGTCACTATCCCTCAACTTTAGTTTCCTTGTCTATAAAATGACAGAGTAGAAAAAATGGTTATTAAGTTCATTCCAACTGAAAGACTCCAGTTCCTTGTTTCTCTGTTGACCTCAGGAAAAGAGATTGGGGAACAAAGGAGGAGAGCAGGAAGTGAGTAACTGTGGTGATCCTGGAGAGGTGGGTGGGAGGGGATAGTCCTGGATGCCCTCCAACAGCCCTCTGCAGGAGAGAGACTGCAGTGAGGCAGCACCTGAGTGCACAGGGGAACAGTGAACACACATCTTTCTAATGTGTCCTGTAAAATGTGTGATTGTGATCATTAGAGTATGTCACACTGACTGAGAGTGTCTCGGGAGCTAGACATGGCTGATGCTTCCTCCCCCCTCACCTGCACAAGGCCCCCTGAATGATGGGGGCCTCACCCACAGCATGATGCAAGTGTAGACCAAGGCAGAGAGATGAAGCCAGCAAGGGACAAAGCCAGGATGGAGACCAAACTCCTTGGTTTCTGAGTTCAGGTCCCTAAGCTGTGCTTTTCACAGCCTGAAAAGATGTGAGACTATTGGTTCCACCACTTAACTAGTTACCTCAGCCAGATTGGAACAGAAACAATCAAAGACAGTAAACAGTAGTTAAAAGACAAAGACACTCTCCCAGCCTTTATCACATGAAGACTCATTATCACATTCAACAACTCAGGCTTCCAAGTTAGACTTCAAGTTGCACAAAGAGTAGAAATCAGCTCTTTCACTCTCTCACATCTCCTAGGTTTTGGATGGAGGGATGGACACGTGACTTTGTTTGGGCTCTATCCCTTCATATTACTGAGTTGAGAAAAGCTCATCCACCAAAGCCACAGACAACAACAACAGAGGGAATGGCCCGATGGTGATTCATGGTACCCACCATTTGGTGTACACCAACATGCTCATCACTCTGCCTTCTAGCTCTGCTCTTGCCTCTCCACTTCTGGCCTCACATGTCTGTCTAAGTCCATCCCCTTATGTATTTGACTGGGGGAGTGTTTTATCTTCAAATAGACCCACTTGCTCACCAACCTTTCCATCCACATCAAGACTCCAGCTCTCCTCCTCCAGCTCTCATCCCCCATCCCAGACTCTTCCCTCTTCTGTCTCTTGGTTTGTAAGGATGCCCATCTCAGCCCTCCACTTGGCTAATGTGCAGGAGTCCTGAACACAAGCTGTGATACTGCTCCTGTCCCCAGCCCACACCACAGAGGCACAGAGAGTCCACATAATGATAACTATACAAGAACATTCCAGAAATGCTGTTAAAGGATACACAGAAGGCTGACAGAAGAAATCCCTTGTGAGTCTGGCCCTGGAAACACTCTCCCTATTCCTCCCCAGGCCCATGTGGCCACCCTGTTCCACGGAGCTGGACTCACCCAGATGCTGGCATCAGGAACAGCCCAAGAGGAAGCTTGGTGAATTTATAGTCTAAGACGAAACTTAGTGAACTGTAGTTATTACAGCCCAGCAAGGTCAGGAAGGATGTGGTCTCAGTGTGGACTGAACAAGATTGCACCACAGGCAAAGGCAGAGACTAACTGACAGTTACTCACATCTCTTGGGTTTTCCAACCCAAGAGAACAGTGTTCTCAAAGCAGGGCCTGGATACAGCCACTGAAGTCTGGCCTCTCTCGGGAGCCACCAGGTGGTGGGATGGGTGAAGCAGGGTAGGAAGGTTCAGCACCTGTGTGAGTGTTGTAAGGACAGAAGAATGCAATGCGGATCCCCCCAGGGCTAATGAACAGGGGATCCCAGGCTCTCTAAGATGTCACATGGTGGCTGTGGCAGGCAGTAGGGATTCTCTCCATGGACTGTTAATTTTTAACCATTTTATTGAGGTAAGTGTACACCATGAAACCATCACCATCAAGGCCAGAAACACATTTATCACCTCCCAAAGTGTCCTCTCTGATGATGATGATGATGATGATGATGACAATGACATACATGTGCAATAAGGACACTGAACATAAGGTCTGCCCTTTTAGCAAATGGTAATACACAGTGCAGTATTGTTCACTACAGGCACCATGCTGTGCAGTAGACCTCTGGGACTTTGTCATCTTGTACAACAGAAACTTAAACTACCCTTTAACTAAAATGCCTTTTCTGCCTCCTCCCAATGCAGACAACTGCCATTCTACTCTATGTTTGGCTATTTCAGATTTCATATATAAGTGAGGTTATAGAGTATGTGTCTTACTATTTCACTTGGCATAATGCGCTCTAGGTCCATTCATGCTATCACAAATGGCAAGCTTTTATTCTTTTCATGCCTGCTTTTATGTCTTGGCTATTGTAAATAAGATGCAATAAACATAGGAGCACAGATACCTCTCCAAAGCCCTGATTTTATTTTTCTCAATAGGCACAGATTCCACTCCCTGAATCACTGACTCACTTACTTGGCTGACATTTGTGGAGCACCTAGTGTGAGCCGGGCACTCCCACAAAGCTGGGCAGCTCTGTGCTTCACTTAGGGAGCTGGGTGACAAGCCCAGAGGCCAGTGTCCTGGCTCTCACAGTGGCTTCAGGACCACAGTCTAACAGCAGCATGAGTTCAAGAGAGTAAAGGAGTGGGGGGGTGGGCACTCAGCACCTCAAGTGGGCTGAGGGACTCTGGAGCAAAAACAAGTGTCCAAGTACAGCATAGCAGCAACTGGCAATTGACTTTGTCTCTTTGTGCCTTGGTCTCCTCATCTATCAAGTGGGACAAAAGTGACTGCCCTAAGGATTGAGCAAATAGATAAATATGAGGCCTTGGAAATGAAACCTGATTCAGAGAAGCCAATCTGAGTGGCCAACTCCCGGTACTGCCACTGTTGGAACTCCACACAGCTCGGGGATATGGGAGAGAGGCCTCTGCTTCTCCTGTGGCTGAGGTGGGAGAACAGCCAGGTCCCTCCCCTCCGTGTCACTGAGGCCAGGTCCTGTGGGGGCAGCAAGGACCCTGGAGGTCGAGAGACAGAGACAGTAGTAAGATCAACTTCCTAAGGGAAAGGGGTGCCTCATGCACCAGGAACAATGGGTTTTCTTTTTAGGAATGAGGGAACTTTCCCTTTCTCCTTCGTACCTTTCTATATAGTTAAATCTTCATTTTGTTGCCACGAACTTGCATTATTCAAACCAAACTAAAACAGTAAATGAAAACAACAAACTAAATAAGTGAAATTAACTAACACTGCTTCTTCAACATAAGCCCTAAAAGAAATCCTCCCATTAAATGGTTATCAGGCCCTGACTGGTGTGGCTCTGGTGTTTGGGCGCCATCCTGCCAACTGAAATGTCACCAGTTCAATTCCCAGTCAGGACACGTGCTGGGTTGCAGGTTTGATCCCCGGCTGGGAACAAGAGATGCTTCTGTCACACAGCAGTGTTTTTCTCTCTCTTTCTCCACCCCTTCCCCTCTCTCTAAAAATAAATGAATAAAATATTTTCACAAAACAACAAATGCTTATCAGAACCTGCCTGTGAAAGAGGCATGCTGTGCTACATGCATTTGTACAAATAAAGAGAAATTGAGTTAATTTAGGACTTTTTAAGGATGCAGTCAACAAGTTAATGGTGAAATTGATACTTAAATTTGAGGGGTCTGACTTCCAGGATGAGATTTAATTTTTGTTGTTGAATAATCAAAACAAATTGTGAATTATTTTTTCCTCCTTGAACAATTATGTACTTTTCATATTGTTCTAGTAATACAAGGTCTATCCAGAAGGTATCCAGCCATGTACTATGAAAAATAGAGACACTTGTTAAAGAAGATCCAAGATACAAGAAACATTCTACATAAAACAATGACACTTCAGTCCCCTTCAAAGTAGGAACCTCGAAACCTCTCACAACTCTCCTAATTGCCATCAGCTGTCCCATTGTATTTTCCTGAATCTTATCAATGGTCTGAAGTCTCTTCCCTTTCAAAAGGTGACTTAAGTTTTGGGAAAAGAGGGGACTTTCAGCCAAGATGGAGGCCTAAGTAGATGCATTGTGCCTCCTCACACAACCAAAACAAGGACTGCAACAAATTTAAAAACAAAAAACATCCAGAACTGCCAGAAAATTGAACTGCATGGAAGTCTGACATACAAGGACTTAAAGAAGAAACATTCATCCAGACCAGTAGGAGGGGCAGAGATGGGCAGCCAGGC